CAGCGGTGGCTGCTCGGGGGGCGCTGAGGGAGCCCCCCAGAGTGGCGCAGCGGACTCGCTTCTCCCCTGCGTGCCCAGGCCTCCGAGTTTATTCTCCAGCCGAGAGGACACGGCTGTGATCGGAAGGTAAGAGGCGCTCGGGTCCCCGCCGGCCTCCGCCCCGCACGTTGTGTGGTATTACCTGGGGCATGCGCTGCTAGTGGGAGTGAGCCAGGTGGGGCAAGCCGGAAGCACAAGGGTGCTTGTAGGACGGGGAGAAGACTCCCCCTCCCCACCTTGCTGAGACCTCTGCTCTTCCAGCTTGCAGGGGATGTGGTTGAAATCTGTTAGGAGTGAGCGAAGGGACAAGGGATGGAATAGGGTGAAATATCCCTAAGCACCTAAACTCTTGCATAGGCTTTAGAACCTTCAGAGTTTTCCGCTGCTCAGACCCCCTCCCCGCACGCACACACACTTGGTTTATGTGAGTGCTTTTTGCATGCTGCATGAACACGCTATCCTTACCATTGAAGTTTTAAGCCCCTCATGATTGTACCGGTATATACCTATGTGTAGGAATCTGTAGTTGGGTTTAAAAAAAAAAAGGTGAGCTGTATTATGATAAATAGATGTAATGATGCATTTCCTAATGGTACTTAAATGGTACAGTTTATAGTTTTCTATTATTTTTATATATATATATATATATGATTGTTTCTGCAAAACTTGGGATGGGAGACTGGGCTTGCATCAAAGAATGACATCAATATGCACTAGAACGATTTGCTTGTTCTGGGAGGACCTGTGATAGCTGCAGTATACCAGCTACTTTTCGAATGAGAACTTTAATATCAAGTTTTGTGACCGGATCAAGTTTTGGGCCCAGTTGAAACAATATAGCTCATTGGTCACATTTAAACCATGTCTATGGAGAAAAACCCCCAAAAGTCGATGTGTCCTACCTGTAAAAGACAATCTGAGTGTAAAGAAGACCGGAACAGTAAAAACCAGGGCATTTTTCTGAACCTTCATGTGCCACGGGGGAAAAATTATTTTTCAGTTTTCAAGGGGGGAGGGGATGACCTTTAATAATAATTCGGAGCTCAAAGTGTACTTGATAGAAGAGTGCTGAATATATTAGTTAAATCTTAAATTTGATGAATATGAAAACAACTGAATTTTAAAGAAAAAGCTTTTGGAAAGCAAAAGTCTGTGTAGTGTGCAGAACTACTTTACTAACTCATAATAAAGGAGTTCAGTGATTCTGGACAGCAGCGTTTTTTGTCAGGATAATTTTCTGCTCCAATTACCACAAAAGCTATTTTTGTGTCTCTGCATTTTTTACAGCATACAAATCTTTGTACATTTTGTCTTGATACATGTGCATGGTCCCATAGAATCTTGATTTGAGTGATTCATAAGAGCAACACGGTAATATTTGTAATTGAGCTAATCTGTTTTAAGTATGTGGCAAGATAATTTTTAAAACACAAGGAAACGTAGTGTTTCTTAATATTAATTGAGTAGGTTAAAGTTCATTAAGTTAGAAAATCACAGATTCCTTAACAGTAGCAATAGATGAGGCTGTGACTTTCTTATTACCTATTTTCTAATAGCTTCTAGTTCTACGGGTGAATTGTCAAATTTGTGGGGTTTTTTCTTATGACCTGATTGAGTATCTTTAAAATGTTCCTAGTAACATTGTTACTTTAAATGTATGACACCTAATTTCTAATTTAGGCTAGGCATAAAACCGGCATTGATTGGACACACTTGCTAAAAATACTTTCTGGGTCTGATGTACTAAGAATGCAGCCTCAGGAAAATTCATTTGAACTATTCTGTGAGCATTGTATACTTTATTATTATTAAAGGATTTAAACAAAAAATTAACACAATCTCACCAGTTACATTTCATCAGTTCAGCCATAGATCCTAACTTTAGTTTTTTTAAAAAATGTATAAACATAGGATAATTTATGTGGGATAGTGATAAAAACTTTTCAGGTTTTTCTTTTGTTTTGGTTTTGAACTTATATGGCCCCTAGTTTGTATATTTATTCAAATATTGTAGTTTTGTCCATTATATTAAAATATTGTAGTATTGACAGGCCAGTGTTACTGGTTTATGTTTATTTATGACCTATGCTAAACTCAAAAATGGGAGTCAGTGGTGATGTTTTGGAATAATTTATCTCTCTCTCTTTTTTTTTTTTTTTTTATTATTGGGTAATAGTAAATCTCTTTTCTTTATAAAGTATCTAGCTTCATTTTTTTTTTTTTTTTTTTTTAAGTACTGGGGATTGAGCTCAGGAACTTGCACTTGCGAAGCAGGCAGCAGAACCGTGGAGCTAAATCCCCAGCCCTTGAGTAGTTTATCTTTAAGGAATAAATTAAGCCACTGGATAATTTAACTGTTGTTGAGAGTACTTTTATTTTTTCCTCCTCTGAGAGTTAATGTGATGGCTTTTAAACAGCAACACTTTGAAAATAGCTGTGAATCCTGACTTGTCTGGTAGATGTTTAAAGGCAAGTGGTTAAAAATTCTGATTGAAGGCTGGGGATTTAGCTTAGTGGCACAGTGCCTGCCTGGCAAGCACAAGGTCCTGAGTTCGATCCCCAGAACCAAAAAAAAAAGTTCTGATTGAATCTTTTTCCCCCCTTGGTACTGGGGATCTAACTCAGGACCTTGCATTTGCCAGGTGGGCATAGTGCCACTGAGCTACATCCCCAGCCCTTGAATTATTTATGGTAGTTATTGGGAATGTAAAATCAGTGAACTCATAAGAATAAAAGTCTGTGTGATTTATGTGAGTTAAATATAAATTGTTGCTCTAAATAAAATCTGGTTATTGGTAGAAATGTGCGGGGTACAGATTGAGTTGAATTCTGTGGTTTTTCTGGGTTATTGCATGTTTTGAAGCTGTTTACATGCTATAGTCCAGACACATTAAGTTTACCAGTCCACAAACTGGGCATGGTGGCAGTTGCCTGTAATTCCAGCACTTGGGAGGCTGAGGCAGGAGGATTGGGACAATTTTGAAGCCAGCCTGGGCTTTATAGTGAGTTCAAGACTAGTGTGAACTACTTAGCAAGAGCCTCTCTAAAAAACAAAACAAAATGAAACAAAACCAGATTTACCACTTCACTAGAATAAATAGTGAGGAATTGAAGATTGGTTTAGCATTCTGGAAATCTTTTTATTGTTTGCCAAGAAAGCACTGTAGGGGGAAGGTGTTATTGTTTCTTCTTTTAATATGCAATTAGTACAGATGGTTATTGTGTTTGTATTTTTTAACAAAAGTGGTTATATAGAGTGGTAGAAAGAAATGAGGATCCAGAAGGGAAGAATATTAGTATATATTATCTTGTTAAGTGCCATACAGTGTATACAAAATATTTTTCAGTTATTCCTTGATCATCAAGAGATGCATACATTGTGAAATAGGTATTATTAATCCCTTGCTTCTCACCTCAGAAATAGAAGCTAAAGAAAATTAACTTATCTGGAGTTATGCTCCTAGTGAGTAGAAATCAAACCACATCTGATTCTCAAGCTTATTCTTTAGATAAGTGCTGTCCAGTTAAACTTTCTAAAGTAATAGAAATAATTCTCCAGTTCTCTAACTTGAGTTATAGAAATATTCTTTATGTGCACTATTAGATATGGTAGCCATTAATCATATGTGGTTATGTTTTTTTTTTTATTTATTTTTTGGTACCTGGGATCGAACTTGGGTCCTTGTGTTTGCAGGCAGTTGGTGGAACCGCTGAGCTAAATCCCCGGCAATCATATGTGGCTATGAAACATTTGAAATATCACTAGTATGTGTGATAAACTGTATTAATTTTTTTTTGGTACTGGGGATTGAACTTGGGTCCTTGCACTTGCGAGACAGGCAGCAGCATCACTGAGCTAAATCCCCGGCCCTAAACTGTATCAATTTTAATAATTTTAAGCTTGTACCCAGTTGGGGCTGGTAGATACAATGCTGGGTAGTATGGCTTTAGATCTTGTTTTCTACAAAATCTGAGTTCTATTATATAGTCTTTCTCAGTCTCTTGTATGACATTAGTCAAGTTATTTAGTTCTTGAGCTGTAATATAACAAAGTTTGTATCTTTAAAAACTATTTCATCATGCCACTTTCCTACTTAAAATATAGAGCATTTCCCAGGAGCTCATCAGATTAATCCCAAACTGAACTGCTAGGCCTTGAAGATTTTCCCCCAATTTCATTTTACTACTCTTTTTTCTCATTCTTGCCTTTTCTCTTTCTCAGAGAGGGAAAAAAAAAGGTATTCTCATTTTCCTCTCCATTTGTGTCCTCAGTTTAGACATTCCTAACTCTGTCTAATCAGTGTGCCTTCTCTTCAAGCCTACCTCAAAATTCAAGTTTTTCTGGAAGAATCTTCTTAATCCAGTCATAATAAACAAGTGCTAAGTCCATGTCACAAGTACCTAGGTTTAATGTATACTTGTTTAGATATAATTTAGTATATCCTTAGTTTTTCTCCTTACATTTTTGGGTTACCTGCTAAATGTAGGGGGAAAAAGTTTATTTCCTTTGTATTGTCTCTTAGCCTTTTGTTCAGCAATTTTGTTTTTAAAAGTTTCTGAGTTTGGGCCAGGGATTTAGCTTAGTGATGCTGCTGCCTGCCTTGCAAGCCCAAGATCCTGAGTTCAATCTCTGGTACCAAAAAAAGAAAAAGTTTCTCAGTTTAGAAAAAAGATGTTTACTCTTAATCAATATTCTGATAGACATTTTGCTTCCTTCTAGTCAGTTGTCCTTTTTGGTACCTGGGATTGAACTCAGGTCCTTGTGCTTGCAAGACAGGTAGCAGCATAGTCAGTTGTGTGTGTGTGTGTGTGTGTGTGTGTGTGAAGTTGTGTGGTCATAATACAATATGAGTCTAATATATTGGAAACATATAGTGGAGGCTTGCATTGTTGAGGAAAGATCCACAGATTGTGAAGTTAGACAAGTCTGGTTGGGAATCTGGTCACAAAAACGTTGAACATACTGTATAACCTCTGAGTCAAATGGCCTTGAATTGTGAAGATAAAGATATATAAAACACCTAGCATTGTCCTCTAAAAAGAATATATGATCAGTAGGTTAGAGCTGATGTCATGATTTTTTTCAT